ATATCATGTGCCTCGTAAAATGCGACAAGTTCTGGATTACTATGCCAGGAAAAAGTTGCTAACTGTGGTGAGCTTCAGTAAGAATTCGCAGTTTGAGTTTATTTAAATTTACTTTTTTATATATCTGAAATTCTCTATAGTAAACTGATCCTGGCATATGCTCGTGAGACAAATCTATCACCAAACTGCTTTGTAAAAAAGCTACCTTTGAGATAGGGACCTTCTGTCGAGGTGCCTTCACTTTGACTTGGCAAATCTGGAATATTTGGGACAGCTGTTAGTTCGTAGAGCGGTTATTCACCTATTTAGTTGGTAAGTTTCCCAGCTACTTGTCCTGTGCAACATCGCCTGACGGTCATTTTGATGGCGATTCTAACGTTTGCTTCATCTTCTGAGAAGTTGGCTTAAGGATTCTCTCCACAGATGCACTTGGCGGAGTTATGACTGCTCCAAGATGTCACTGATATGAGTTGAGCTTTTCAGTGTCACTGATGTCATCCTTAATTTTGCCATTTCTAGACCACGACGAGATGTTTTACCGAGTATAAAGGTTTTTTTTCACAGAAGTGCCTTCAAATTGATTGCTCCTTCTTTATCTTTAGTTGCTAAATAGACCTAAAAAATTTCTAGAGGGGATGCTAAAAAAATCGAAATTTGTGCGTATCAGTACACAGGAGATACAGTAAACCAACTAGTACGGTAAGACCTTCTTCAGGGGACGCAGAAGTGAAGTTTGTCATCAGAGTGCCGGTATCTCTATTCGTCAGTTAGAGTGCAGCACACTTTTCGTGTTTCGCAACAGATAGTCCTGATGTTGTTAAAAACGGTAAGCAAAGGAAATCTTACTAGAAGCCGAGTAATAACTGAAAGTATGGAGTTCGAGGTCGAAGTGTTTGGCACAGGTGCGCCTGACTTGTGGGAGCACCTCAGTAACGCCATTAACAGAGGATGCCCACGCCACTTGTTCGGAATTTTTTGGTGTTCTTCGACATATTGTTAATGAAGCAGTTTTTAGGTGCCAATAAATCTTCCTGGTGAATCACCAAACCAAATATCCATAAGAAGTAGCTTCATCAGGCGGAACAGACAGCAGAAACGTCGCCACGAGCTCATTCCGTACAATGATTGCCTCTACAGGTATCTATCAGTCTCAAATTTAGCTTAGGTGCAGAACGAGGCCAGAGCTGTGCTGAGTTCAGCAAGAATCCACGGGTTTTTTGAAAACGCAGTCCAAATTCTGGAGTAACCATGCTAATAGCCATGTCACCGCTATGCCTAATTTCTTCCGGACATCCAAATCGCCTAAAATGTCCACCCTGTTTTTTCCGTTCTTCCTTGACACATACTTTCTCCGCAACGCCTAGAACATGAAAACGCAAGTTTCTTCAGTGCTGCATAGTTTTCCAAAAAAAAAACGACGTATGTACTTAAGATTAAAAGGTGAAATTTTGACGCAGCCTATACGATGGAACTTTTGGTCAGCTGTTGTTTCACTGTCACGTGTTTCTTCTTGCCATTGATGCAGCTGTCAACTTTTCCATTTTGGGCTTATCTCATTGATATAATTTTATATCGGAACTTTCCAATGCACTGGCGACTCTTTTTGGATTCTTTTAAAATGGCCACTGTTTTTGGTGATCAAAAATAGCGAAAAAACGTTCTTTCTTCACGCAAATGCCAAATTTGGATGCTTCGCGTAATCTGTGCCAAATCTGCATTCTTTCCCGGAACCCTGAACCTTAGCCAGTAAGTGTGATATGTCATTTGTAACAAAACTAATTTCTTCCAGGCATATTGACACCCACAAGTATGTATTAATTTTGGATGTCGATGAAGTGATTGTACCCTTGAAGCATGATAATTGGAGTGCCATGTTAGAAGAAGTAATTGCTACTGCAAAAAGTAGCACGGACTCGAAGCTAGCTGAAATTACATCAGTATCCATTCGCAATGTATTCAAATTTCCATCAAACAACTCGATAAATCACAGTGTCCCGGATTATGTGTACATGCTACGTAACAGGCGCAAATCAGAAACAATTAGCGAACCAGGGGAATATGGCAAGGCGTTCATCAGGTACTGTTCATTTTCAAAATCCATTCAAAATCCTATTATTGCTAATGGGTATCTCGCGTTAGTGAAGTTATTGGTGCAGCTATGCAAGTCATTCGAACCTGAACAAAATACCTCCACTTAGTGCCAGCCGTTTTTTCAGTATCTTATATTATTAACCGCCGAATTCCCTATTTACCTGATTTTTTTTTCCTCTTCATCTAATTATCTTTTAATTTACTTTATATACATATATACCTGTGTATATATAATCACCTCTAATATCTTTATTAATAACTTTATTCCTCTCGTCCCCTGAATGGATTGTCACTTCAGTGGATCGCTTGACAGAAGCATTTTGGCAAGGCTTTAGCCACATTCAGATTCATTGCTGTATTCCAAGCTTCACTACCCTGTTCGCAATAGTTGCTCCTCCTAAATCACATTGAGATACCATGCCGTTTGGAAAACTGTAATGCATGTATACATATATATGTATATACATATATACGCATGAATTTGCAGTACAGATACAGTTTCGACGGTATTCAATCATTTTGCTCTGCACCGTCAGCACGGCAATGTGAGGAAGACGTTATACGTGAATCCGGATGTGGCGCTGAAGCTGCACTACAAGGAGAAGTGTCCAATTGAATCCGGGAGACAGTGCGAGCAGCTTGAGCGTGTCACGGTGGATGACACGTCAATGGATAAATACGCCGAAGAACTCACACAACGGGTCACTCGTGTGCTCAAAATTTTGAAATTCATTAATTAGTGACATTTCTTATCGATGTGTGTTTGTACTGTATCCAGTCATTTCTCTCAATTTCCCTTCTCATCTCTCTTTCATTCCCGCTCCAAAACCGGTCTTATCAAGAATAAAATCGTATAACAGAATAAATAACGGCCAAAACCGAAAATAGTGGCATGCACTAGTGGATCTCGTTCGGAAACTTCTGGGTGACCAGTTACAGTGGTTTTTCGACCTAACAGTCATACGAAAAGCACCGA